TTGGTAATCATGCAAATGAAAATGACATAAGGTCAGTCATTTAGATTTATCCTCACCATCTTTGTGGTTTATATGTAGGCTGTTCGGACCTATGGAAAAGAAACCATTATGACTCGGCTTTTGAACGACTTAGACTTCTATGTCTTGCCTGTCTTGAATATTGATGGTTATGTCTATTCTTGGACAAAGGTAAATAATACACAATCAGCAGGTCATAATTATTGTATCAATTATCTTTCAAATGGTACATTCACAAATCTGTTCCATTTCAGAGTCGCATGTGGAGGAAGACTCGTTCTGTAAATGCTGGTAGTTCATGCATTGGAACTGATCCCAACAGAAATTTTGATGCTGCATGGTGCAGTAAGTATCCTGTACTCTAACAAGGCAAAACTATGCTCCAATATTATGTGGAATAAAAAATTCTTAAGAGTTTAAAAATATCAATTCTAGTTGAGTTCCAAAATCTTAATGCAGTCCTACAAAAATAAACAATACTTGACCAACTGAATTCTTCTGTGGTAATATACTGAAATACTAAATGAGGAATTTTAAACCTCTCAAAAAAGGAAGTGCTCAATGGTTTAGAACTGAACCCTTATGTTTTTCCCACATAAGTTATACGGTCTTTCTCTCTAACAGTGAGAGGCAAAAAAATCTTCCTCTTTTCAGAGAACATCATATTAGACATCCCAATATATATGAAATAAAATAAAATCTTAGTCTGTATAATCCTGTATGCTATATACTTTGAATTACTTGGGCTCATCCCTCATAAATAACATGTTTGTGGAAACGATTGAGCAAAGTAATTTTTGTCAGTTTCCACACGTCTGAAATTTTGTTCACGTGAAGCATGTTCACACTGCAAATGATGTGGCAAAGCAAAGTAAAATATTCACTCATGCATGTATTGACACAAAAATAATGTCCTAGGGTAAAGTCTTGTTAAATAGTAAAGCTTTGCAAATCTTTTTGAAAGCTCCTTCAAAAAGCACAGGAGCTGATACTAACTTCTGCTCTGGGAATTATAAAAACAACTGCTTCACAGTAATGCTTATGTGGACAGAGCTGGAAGCAATTTCCAAAGTGGCCTTGAACCTGTAAAAAGACATCACTGCTTTAAAAAGATTCAAAACATAGTACAATGGTACCCAGATACTCATTATTAATTGGTTCCAGGAGGTGAAATGAGTACCAAAAATGATGGGTACCAAACACATTTTTCCCATAAAGAATAATGTAGTCAGTCACAAAGCAGCACTGACAAGTTCTAGCTTTTGTGTGAGTATCAAACAAATGATGACAAATTTTTCATGTCAAAATGAGTTGAATACCAAATTCAATGAGTTTCAAAGCAGTTGCGTGCCAAGGAATGATTGCACTATAGGCACTCCAATGAATTACAATACATCTTCCTCAAAGCACTGTCACGGCCTTATGAAATACTTCCTGGTAAATCATATACAATATATTCCACAATGCTCTATGCCAGCTTCACTAACTGGCACCCACCAGAGTTGTTGCCATCTTCTTGCCTTGAAACATATAGAAATATTAAACAGAAAGGAGGCCAAAATACAACTTGAGGTTGATGTTTTTATGTGATTCTGACATCAAAGGGCACCAAGCGGATCAAATGCACATGATCTACTCTGGCAGGCTCCAATTTCCTCACACCTGACATTTCAAATTGTTTTAATTGGAAATTTTAAGAATCAAAGCCAGATACATCAAGCTGTATCCTTATTGTTGAGCTATAAGGTCAGAGCAATGATGATAGGTAACATTAGACAACAATAAAACTGGCAGAATATAATTCTTTCTCCTGCTGTTGTATACATAGGAGATAGGAAGAAATCAATGCATAAAATATTTTAAACTACTGAGCCAATTTTTCTTTACAGTAAGTGCCTATTCCTGAGAATTGCTTGACAAACAAACTGAGAAACATTGTGAATTATGACAGACAATGTGAGGAGATCAGAATTATGCAGGGTAGTGTTGTATTCAATGTCCACATAGATGCTAATTAGGGAATGTATCAAACACTTTCCATGCAAGAGGGGGATTTTGATTAGATCAAAATAGCCCCTCGCATTTATGGGTTAAATAAGCCCATAATTTATATAGTCTCCTTCACAATTCACGTATCCCTGTAACATGGGGATATTATTTTGTAATAACAATTGCCTCCATCCATTTTCTTACTACTATCTGGTCATCTCTGAAAAACTAATTGCACAATTAACTAACTGCACTACTTTAGAGTAGTGCCAGTTTTTTTCACACAGTTTTTGAACAATGAAATTGATTGGAGAAGTAGAAGAAAGAAAGCATGTTTGGTTGTGAGAAAGAAGATAGTGGAGGGGCTATTCAGAGTAGTGAAGTAGTGAATAGAAAGCATGATAAAATAAATATCACTTTAAAGCTACTTTTAAAAGTAACCTGTGATGCTATTACTTGAGATCTAGCATAATAAAAAGATCATGTCATTCTCAGTTTGAATCTTCCTTCTGCCTTGATAGCATGACCTGTCCTTGTTCAGACCATTATCTGACACCCTTCCTCCATGTATTCCCATCTATTTCATGCTGAGCTGTAATATTCTTTTGCATGTTCTTTGCACACAGACATTATAGCATCACAACAACTCATAGTTAAAACAACCATGACTTAGCATGTGTGAATCCAGTTCACACATGATAGACTAACAGATACATAAAAGATCTTGAAAATTTAAAATTTAAAAATGCCATACTAATATCTCATCTTGTTGTTAACCAGTTTAATGATACTTATTTAAAAAGTAAATTAAAACTTAAAAGTAAAAGGCTTCCTTAAAATCATTAGTAAGCCTGAAAGGTACACTTTTTCTGCCTTTTAATCTAACCTTTCAATCATGTCTGATTTTTTTTCCTACTGCATTCAGCTGTTGACTCTTCAAGAAACCCCTGTAGTGAAACCTATTGTGGTAGTAAAGCTGAATCAGAAAAGGAAACCAAAGCTTTGGCTGATTTCATCCGAAGAAACCGCTCAACTATCAAGGCTTACTTGACCATTCACTCTTACTCCCAGATGCTCCTTTATCCATACTCTTATACTTATAAACTAATACCAAACAATGTAGAACTGGTAAGTAGAATTTGGTGATGATAAAATTGAAATTTGTATTAATTGTGAACATCTATGGAAATTCTGTGTCATCCAGGTCATGGTTGTCCCAAAGGTGCATTTTCAAGAGGCAACTGGTTTTCTTTGAAGGCGTTTTACTTCTCATCCAAGAGGTTTCAGCTCTGACTGGATGGTGGAGAGCTGAAGAAGCTTCTTGGATGAGAAGTGAAACAACTTCAAAGAAATACAAGAAAGTCCAGTTGCCTCTTGAAAAAGCACCTTTGGGACAACCATGACCTGGATGACTGAGAATCTCCATAGACATTTGTGGAGCTGTGTGTTTCTGCAAGATGTTTTCTCCCCTGTGTTTCTTCATTGTTGAACATAGGCTCAGGCTATTGTGGGTGAGTCTGTGTTGTCCACATCTCAAACTGAAACACAATAATTCCTATAGTCTGAAATTTTTCTGAAGAATGTCTCCACACATTCTCACCCTGTTTAAAGGCAAAGGGAATATAGCACATAGGAAAGACAGGGGATAAATAGCAATGAAGATACAGACAAATCAACTCCAAAATCCTTTACTGTTTAATTAGTCCCAGGCAAGGTTAGAGACATTGACCCAGAAATGACCTGAAAGTGTATTTTCTATCACGCATTTACTAAAGTTTCATTTCCCTTTTCTTCAGAACAAATAGTATTTTTCTCACATGAAGTTCTTCTTTCGTATTATATTCTTTTTTAACTCAATTTTAAAAGTTAATACCAATAGACAAAAACCACTTTCCTGTCAAGGAACAAAAAGTGGTTCCACCACAAAAGCGCGTAGGACAAAATTGCGCTCGACAAAAGCGCGCTGTGACATCATCACAGCGCGACGAAAAATTTCAAAAAATGTAAAAATAAAGCGAAAACCTTACCCTAAGCCCCCCAAACCTAACCCTAAACCTAAC